GGATGTTCAAATCATCCACATATACTGCTATAATCACAAAACCTTTGTTTGCGAATTTCTTTATGAAGATACATGGACTGATGGGATCATTTTTATAACCTTCTCTGACTAGGTAATCGCTTAATCTATTGTACCACATGCGCCCACTTTGTTTCAGTCCATAAAGCGATTTGTTCAGCCTTATGCAGTATTGGTCCCGAGACCCTTTCTTATCTTTATCTTTGAGCTCAATACCCTCTGGTAATCTCATATATATCTCATTATCCAGTGGACCATATAGATAAGCGGTGACAACATCCATTAACCGCAAATCAAGTTTTTCTCTTATTGCCAGACTTATTAAGAATCTAAAAGTCGTTGCATCCACCACAGGGGAGTATGTTTCTTCATAATCTATCCCCGGTCTTTGCGAGAATCCTTGTGCTACAAGCCGTGCCTTGTGTCTCACGATTTCATTATTCTCATTTCTCTTCCTTACAAAGACCCATTTGTGTCCTACTGGTTTTATCTCAGATGGTGTCCTTAATATCGGACCAAACACATCTCTTTTCTTTAATGAACTTAATTCCACGTTTATGGCTTCTTTCCATTTTAGCCAATCTGATCTTTGGGTGCACTCTAATATAGACGTGGGTTCATGATCCTCATTTATTTCGATTGCTACCTTATATGCAAATATTTCATCGATGTCGACATCTTTGCGGTTCCATTTTATTCCAGACATGATATAATTTATCGATTTCTCATTATCATCTATCCCTTCAGGACCATGAGGATTGGCGTCCCAAATCTCTCTATTCGGTTCCTTAGGGTCTGCCGCGGCCATGTCTATGGTTTCCTTAACCTCGTTTCCTACTGCACCTTTCTTTGATTTTCGAGGGTTTTTATCTTTGGAACCTAATGGTCTACCACGTTTCTTTCGTGCGTTAGACTCTGTAGCAATTTCATTGATTCCCTTTTGGATATCAATACGTACTGGTGCATTACAAGCTGGTATGTACGATTTTGTAACTTTCTTTGGGTCAACAAAGGAATCTGGCAATTCATTAGCTAGCTTTTGCAAATTTATTATTTTCTGGACCTCTGATTCACATGCCAGAGTCCGAGGATCTTGCCAATTCAAGGATGTTTGATTCCATGATATTTCTTTTATATCTTTACCCAGCTTGTTCGTCTCTCCACCTAAAGTAGGAAATTCGGATTCATTAAAATGACAATCCGCGTATCTAGCCTTAAATAGATCACCCGTAGTTGGCTCTAGATACTTAATAATGGTGGGAGAATCAAATCCAACATATATTCCCATCCTCCTTTGAGGTCCCATCTTTGTTCTATGTGGTGGTGCAATCGGTACATATACGGCACACCCGAAAGTCTTTAGATGGGATATGTCTGGCTCATGACCCATGAGTAATTGGGATGGTGAATATTTATGTTCACTAGATGGCCTTATGCGTATGAGTTCTGAAGAATGTAAAACAGCGTGTCCCCAAGCGGCTACTGGAAGCTTTGACCTCATGAGTAATGGTCGAGCTATCAATTGAATTCGTTTAATGAAGGATTCCGCTAATCCGTTCTGTGTATGTACATGCGCTACGGGGTGTTCCACACTTACCCCCATGGACATACAGTAGTCATTAAACGCTTGGGACGTGAATTCACCGGCATTGTCTAGACGTATAGTCTTAAGCGGAAAATCTGGAAAGTGGGCTCTCAGTCTTATTATCTGGGCCAATAACCTAGCAAAGGCTTGGTTTCTAGTAGATAGGAGACACACATGCGACCATCTTGTCGATGCGTCAATGAGAACCATAAAGTATCTAAACGTCCCACATGGTGGGTGTATTGGTCCGCATATATCTCCTTGTATCCTTTCCAGAAAATTTAAAGTCTCTTTATTTACCTTAGCCGGTGATGGCCTTATGATAAGTTTCCCTTGTGAACATGCTTCACACGTGAGATTCTTAGGGATAACTCTTTTCTCTTTTAGGGTGTGCCCCTTTGAATTAGTCATTAATTTACGCATCATATTTTGACCCGGATGGCCAAGCCGGTCATGCCATAAAGTGAATTCCTCGATGAACTCTTTGTTCATTGCCATATTAGCTTCGATCATATCGATTTTAGCATAGTAGAGACCAGTGGATAATGCGGGTATAGTCTCTAGGACTTTCTTATGTCCTTTGGTGATCTCAATTATATTTAGGAATTCTTTGTTCCCTTCACCCTTTGTTTCAATATGGAAACCATTCAATCTTATATCTTTGAAACTTAGTAAGCTCCTCTTTGAGCCGGGTGAGTATAGGGCATCGCTTATTTCAAGATGCGTGCCCTTTGATAAAAGGATATGGGCTTGACCGTGGCCCTCAATAAGACTAGCTATACCCGCTATGGTGCTAATATTGGCATTTTTCAATGTTAGATTTATGAAGTATCTTTTGTCTTTTAAAATGGTGTGGCTCGATCCACTATCCACCACAAGTATGTTCTTGTCATCGGC